TGCTGACATCACCTAGATCCACCCCTTTCCCTGCCTTTGCTTCCTTACCCATAATAAGTCTTGTGTGACCCTGAAATGCTCTCCTCCTGCATGTGTCCTGTATCTCTAGGCAGTGATCCCCCCTCAGTCCAAAAGGTGCTCTGGAGAGCCACTCCTGTTGACTCCCCAGGATGGGCATCATACCTACACCACGGGAATGAGGGTCCCCCAGGACAGCCCTGGGACGGGCCCAGACAGGGTTTGTGATGCTTTCAGAACCCAGAATTTGGGATCCCCTGCCTGCCTCTGTGCTCCTTTGTGTGTGTGCAGACCAGTTTTGTATCGCATAACCTAAGAAGAACTGCTACAGCAGGAGTGAAAACATCTTCCCATCTGATAACTCCACTGTAGGCTCAGTACCCTCTGAAGGGAGGGGACAACTGAGGCTGTGGTGGCATCAAAGAATGGCACATCAGAAGTTACTGGGACATCAACAGTTACTGCTTTAAAAAGGTGCCGCTGACTTGATTGGGTAAGTCAGGTAAATAGAGATACCATGAAGCTGTCAGTATTTCAGGAAAGGATCAGTGTGTTCTGAATGCTAGCTAATGGTGCAGAAGTAAAAAAGAAGAGCGTTACTAAATAATTACAGAAAATAACAGAAAATTTACAAGACAAAAGTATTACAAAGCAAGTGAAAAAAAATCAAAAAGATCTGTTCTCATTTTACAAATTTGCAGGAGCCTGGAACATGTAAAGGGTCCCACTGAGAAAAGATGTCACAGCAATCAAAAAAAGAGTGATTATAATTTTCCAGCACAGTTTTCAAACCCTTTGCCACCCATGATAGATAAAAACCTGCAGAGAAAACCCAGGCAGTTTTTCCATAAACCTGTAGCTTATAGTTTCACTGGTGAATCATGCAGACACACATTTTCAGAGATGCCTATAAATGACTCTCAGTTGAAAAATAAAAGCCTGAAGAATGATTGCTTTTGGTTAGCTTTATCTGCACACCTGAAGTCTAGCTACCATAATGCATAAGAGTCTCTTACAGAATAAATACCGACTACAGCGCAGGAATCTCACAGAACTGTTTCTTGCACAGAAACAGATAGCTTCTGCATCTGAAAAGCACAATAAAACAAGACTCTAGACCTTCATGCAGACAATGAGGGAAGGATCTACTGACATGATTATATTGCTTCTTTAGGAAGATCAAGCAGACACTACTTGAGCTGCTGCTCCTAGAAGGTTTTTTGTTATATTTACAGTGTATATGGAAAGAGATGTACCTATATGCTGATCACATAAACCAGTCAAAACTAATGCATCTTTCTTTAGCAAAATAATAAACAAAAAATACCATGTTAAACTTTATTAGTGGGAGCACAACTTTTCAAATAGCTCTCTACATATCGTATCATCCTTCTGCTGTACTTTACTCACAGAAAAGGACTGCCTTTTGCACTTCCCATACATGTATGGACCTAAAAAAAAAAGTAAACTTCACAGGCCCCTTTTTTCAAAGGCTGATAAAGTGGTCAAATAACCCCCTACCTTTACCAGAACACTCAGAGCACTCCCATGTCACAAGCACTTTCTGTCTTGTTTCGGCATCAGAACTACTGTCAAGGACATCTTTCTATAACAGCTCCCTCCCATTCTCCTCATGCTTAAACTTGCAGTCTTTTGACCCAAGGTCACCCCAGGTCAAGGTGAATGACAGCTCAGAAAGTTTAAGATTTACAGCTAATGGAAACAGTACTTAAAACAGAAATGTCTGTTAATGCTGCCCTCCTCTATAGCCTCTCTCTTCTAGACCTTCCTCTCAAAGACAAGAAGGGTCTCAGTGCCTTACAACCACCACGATATGAAAGGCAGCATGGGTTTCAGTCTCAGCAAACTCATTCTCTCAGAGGATTTAAAAAGCCAGCTGAGGGAGAATTTCTTCACACATTCCAAAATCCCTTTATTGGTCTTAATTCAAAATGTCTTGTGGACCACCGCACACCCTCATCTTCAAGCTTTCAAACATACTGCAAAGGTGATGCTCTCAGAAGCAGCTGCCACCCTCCCTTATGACAAATGGATGCGTCCTGTAGTTTCAGGGACCATGGTCCCTGATGGGATGCTTCCTCATGGGATGCTTCTGGATTTTTGGGCTGGCAGCTCCCTTATACAACAAAACCAAAGGGTTCTAGCAGTCCATTGGTCCTCATAGGT